GTGATGGAAGAGTATCCTCCTATAAAGGAAGTATTTCTGATTATTTTATCTCCTCGTCTTTGCGTTTTGTACAATAAAGCACCAATAAAAAGAAGAAACGATGACACAAAACAGAAGAAATATTCAAGAACTGCTTTGGATTTGTTCAAGTTGGACATACATCACTTGCTGCTAAGAGGACATCATTGAAGCCATAGCTGAATTTTTTTTCAAACCAATAGGAAAGATTGTAGGTTTTGCTTAAGTGAAAATAATGCATGTTATCCCAAAACTCGCTTCAGGAACGTGTTTTATTTGTGACCCTGTAATAAACAGAGGCTGCCGGCTAACTCATTTCGTTATTTATTTTGTAGTTTTCTGGTTATCGTAAAGCACATAGGACAGAGATGAAATGAAAACTTGTCATCACCCTCCTCATGTCAGTGCAGCCTTTCTACCTCCTAGTTTGTATCGGGAAGACAGCGAGAGAGGAAGCAGGAAGCAGGGAGAGAGACTCAGGCAGAGCATGCTGAGTCAGCAAATGCTGCTACCTCTGAACACAAAAGCACCTACGAACGCTACACCTAAAGCTAACGAGAAACAGAGAGGACTGGAGACACCAAGTACAAGCACTTGTCATAAAATGAAACATAAGAGCACAAATCTCAATGCATTTCTCCCATTTATATTACACTGCACACTCTGCTCAATATTTCAGAAAGGATCACTTTAGAAGTGAACATTTTTTTTATTTCTGTGTGCAGCAATTTGTACCAGAGCCGCAGAACAACAAAGATAGCATTAATTTAGAAAGTATGGCAAAGAGTAGGAGCAGTGATGGTGGGTTCCAAAGCAGCTTGCAGCCTAAAACAATGCTACACAGACTGCTCGATGTGGAATTTGTCACTCAGCTGTGGTCTGACTAACCTTAGGCTGTGCTTTATTTAATTAACCTTTTGCTTAAAGCTTATAGTGAAGTCATTTTTAGGAAAAGCAGACATGTTTGTGTTCAGACTAACAATTAAAACTCATGAATAGTGACGACATGGGCACCAAACCCATTTGTTTATGTTGTTAATTTGGTCTGGGATTTATTAGGTTCATTAATGCCGCTTCATTCTCCTCATTTTGTCTGTAAGCACGATGTTTGAACCATTAAAGCAGCGGTGGCTCTAAGCACAGTGTCAGAGATCACACAGCCTGTAGAAATGTCATTGGCAGAGACAGTGTTCGTCTGTGCTTCCTCTTTGTCCTGCATGTTTCCATTCCGTTATCAGTCATTACTCCGTGCAATGAATGGAATGTAAATACAAAGCACGCGGTCTGTAAATATGTTCGCCGCATTGTTTGGGTGCATCAGTATCAAAAGGTCACACATCGTCACAGTGCTGTACGGCTGACGTGAGAGTAGACAATATATAGTTAAAGTACAGACTGATCAATGTTGCGTATATTTACAAATGTTTACTCCGTAGTGTGCATATACTGTAAATGTCGTTTTACATATTACTGTAGATTATCGTTGACATAAAATGATGAGTCTTACTGTAAGTTTTTTGCACTGTAGGTGAAAATATCTGACTGGATGTAGGTGGATTCCAGCAATGCTGTCCAAGGCAAACTTCACTTATAAAAACAATTTCTTTAACATGCTGAAAAAGTTACAGGTGATCACGTCCACATATTACCTGCTAGCACAAATCGCTAATATTTTACTATAATACTGTAGGTATTACAAGCTCAGATATTAGATAACCAAGCATGTAAAAACTGGGCATTTAAAAGCAACATATAGACTCATATTCAGTATTCAGCTGGTGGAGCCATGATGTATGTGCGCCCTCTTGTGGCTGGAACTGTCACAACAGCAGTCTTAATTAATATTCAGTCGTGTAAATTTATCCCCAGCTGAAAGCCTTGGGCACTGGCTGTGGAGAGGCCTACATCCACTCTGCACTGTAATTATCAACTCTGAGTCGGCTGGACGTGGTGCAGAATTATTGGTATTATCTTTAGTTTCATTGTGTGAAGAATATGATTAAGATATAAAGTGAAGGTGTGATTCAGCTCGCACCATTTCTACTCACCAACAGCACACTGATTTGTAATGCCCCTCTCCCTCTTTAATGCATAGAAGACAATCTTTACAATGGCTTTTACTAGCAAAGCTCAGTGTTTACATGCTAAAGCCACAGTGTAAGGCACAGAACAAACTCATCATGCTTTACAGTAGCTCTGTTGCTCATTTAAAGTAAACTGCTATGTTGGATAAAGTGGACACTGTTTTGAAGTTGGCAGCAAAATCCTTTCTACCTCTCTTCTTTGCACTTTCTTTTATTTTCATGCCACATCTGTTGTGTGCATTCAAAGCCCCCTAATGTTTAGTCCGGGTGCTGCGACTGAGGCCCTGGTTACTCGATTCCTCCTTAGCAACGGATAGTCTCTGAAAGTGTTGCACTCGCTGCTGCCAGTCGTGGGGATTGTGCAACAACTGAATGCCAAAAATGTCAAATATAACTGATGATCACTGCAGTTGCGTTTAAGTCATCTGAAATGTTTTGTTTTCATTTTTCTCCATCTCTCTTAATAACAGGAACCCTGAAACATGAATATCTTGTCATGATATGTTGCACAAACCTCTCATTAATTGAAGAATGGCATGATACACGAAAACCATTTCATTATTTCATTGAAACATGTCAGAAATATGACCACTTCTGTAGCTTAATGAACTGTGCCAAATCATTCAGACCATTTGTCAGCTCTGTTGAAATGTGTGTATCTTTGGTGTGCTTGTAATGATGAATGAACTTCCCATTGACCCAAGAAAAGGCATCAAACTATCAATTCTGCAGAGTTTCATGAGATTATAATAGCAATACTAACCACTCCTCTGTTGCTATAGGCTTTGCATGGGCTTGTAAAAAATCCTTACACTTTCAGTGGTTACAAATGCATTACACACACACACACACACACACACACACACACACACACACACACACACACACACACACACACACACACACACACACAGACAACCAAATTTACAATAAATCAAGACGATGTGACATAATTGTTTGTACAATATCGACATTGGTGGTATTGCAGATGATGTAATCACTATTTATTTATGTAAACGAAACAATGAAATATCTCTTTGTCAAAGAGAAATGTTTTATTGATCAATAAAGTTTTATCCTGCCTAATCATCAACAATCCTGAGTCATTCGTTTTAAAGCAAGAAGCGAGACGTCATTGTTGAGCAGCCGAGTGCTTCTTAGGATTTTAAATGAAAAATGGACAATAATGGTAAGTACTGTATGAAAAACCTTTATCACTAATGAAATCTAAACCAAAAACATTACGGGTGATTCAAAAATAAAAACTAGACGTTTAGAAAAAAGATGAAAACAAACTGAAATAATTTTACAAAATGGGAAACTTGTAAAACAAACTAATATAAACTAAAAATATGCAGGAAATATTCTTGTTTGCCTGCTAAAATTTATAATCACAACCTGCCAGGGGAGGATCTTTGGAGCTTTGGGAATCAACTGCTTTCAGAAAGGTTTTCTTGTACTTCCTAAAATCTTTCCTCCATGTAATATTAATTTTGTTCTTTAAAAACGACCAACATGAACACTGGGACCATTAAAATCTAAACTGAAATGAGCAAACCCACTGTGAAAACTCACTGAAACCACAGTAAACTGAAAAAAGTCAAAATAAATTAAAATAAAATCTAATTAGAAAATGGAAAATCATAATGACTCCAGCACAGAAATGACTCTTACTTAATTTAACTACGTCGCTAATGGGAATTTTTTAACAGTTTTCCTGCATACTGAGGAGTATATTTGTGTGTACTTGTTTCATTTACAAATTACAAAGTGAAGAAGATCAGGTTTGTGGTGGTTTTCTCACGCGGACTCGTTGAATACAAGTATTTAAGTTAAAATCACCAAATCATTATTGTCATTGTTTCCTGTCGTATGATGATTAGACTTTGATTCTTGTGTGTTTGTGTTCAGAGGCAGAGATGTTTGTCACTGTTACAGACGCACAGTCGTGTCTCTTTCAAACACTGGAAAACTAAATAAACACAAAAATAAAATAAAATAGAAACTGTGAGGATAAATCGATTAGGTTTATTGTAAAATGTCCTAATTTATGCTGTTTACCTTAAAATAAGGGAAAACCTTTTAAATTAAGTAATACTTCATGTTATATTGTCTCTTTTTAAGTGTTTGTTTTTAATAAGCAGTACTTGATATTATAATAACAATTTTGTTTTTTTAAGTAAAACTATTTACCTCAACAATGTGTTAAGTTTAATAATCAAATCAGTGATCCTGCTGACTCGCTACTTGATATACTTAAAATTGTAAATATCAGACCTGTCAAGCGTTACTACAAGAAGCTTTTACTTTACTTTTGGCACTTTTGACAAACAAACAAACAAAAAAAAAACGTAATTGTTATGGTGCAAATTAAGTTGCCATGTATGGCTTTGAGTTCTTAAATCTATCACACTCATTACAGAAGATGCTTTGAAGGTCATCTGTACAATGTTTGCTTTGTTGTGAATAATTTTGACACAGTCTTACTGTGATGTAATGTCACTTTACATTTAAAGTATAAATGTAAAATAACGTGTGTCTACACTGATGGTTTTACAGGTTACTTGTGTGTTTGTATCCTGTATTCATGCTGTCATTCTGAGCTGCTCTGTGGATGCTGACCAGTGTGTGGGTGGTGTTGCAACAATCATATTCTTAATTTTTCATCTTTTTATTTTTTGCAGTATTTGCAGCTCCTCTCTTATTTCCCAGGGTGATGCCACAGCAGTTGGATCCACGTATTTGATTTGGCACAGATTTTACACCACGCGC